TATTTTTGTGTTGGGAAAAATACTGAATGTCCTTTTCCAATATGAGAGTAACATGATAACAAAGGTATCCCAACTGTAGCTGTGAACATGACAGGATGTGTGATTACCCAGAAGAGCATCAGGACTGTTTGAGGCATATGATAGCTATGTGATTAACATGATGATTCAGCCTCTATGGAGAGAGACATATGACAAGCATGATCATTTCTGACGTGAAGCTAATCTGAAGTAAACATTGAATACTGCAGAATTTTGAGAAAAAGTAAATTTTTGGTGTAACAATCAGCTTCCCTCCTCAGAATTTTGAGATTTTGAGAAAAAAATCAGGATTTTGAGAAAAAAATCTGAATTTTGAGAGAAAGTCAGATTTTTTAGATTTTCAGAAAAAGTCAACATTTTGAGAAACAACTCAGTATTGTGAACATAACAGGATGTGTGATTACCTAGAAGAGCATCAGGACTGTTTGATATATGATAGCTTTGTGATTAACATGATGCTTCAGCCTCTATGGAGAGAGACATATGACAAGCATGATCATTTCTGACGTGGAGCTAATCTGAAGTAAACATTGCATTTTTAGGTTTTGAGAAAAAAGTCAGAATCTTGAGGAAAAAGTCCGATTTTTTTTTTCAACAACTCTTGAGGAACTTGAGAATGCTCATTTCTGACGTGGAGCTGATCTGAAGTAAACATTGAATACTGCTTTCTATTCCTCCATCTTGTGACTGTGTAACTCCCTCTCTTGGATATCAGCATGTGAAGGACACTGTTCAGGAACTAGTTGATGCTCTGTATGTGATGACTACTTCCATTCTGGAGAGGATCACAAATACATGGATCCTGAGATTGAAGCTCAAGCCGGTGACGAGTGATATTTTTCTAACATTTAGCATTTTCCATGGGGTCATGTGGGTCATGACCGAAAGAACGAGATCGCGGGTACAAGCGGCCGAGATGGGTTTTCTCCGCAGGGTGGCTGGTGTCTCCCTTAGGGATAAGGTGAGNAGAAAACAACACAACAAAACAAGGCATTTCACATGAGTAGAAATTAAAGAGTAGAAACAATACCATCATTTAAATATCTCAAAATAGAATTAAAGCAGATTCTGCTTTAATTCTATTTTGAGATATTTAAATGATGGTATTGTTTCTACTCTTTAATTTCTACTCATGTGAAATGCCTTGTTTTGTTGTGTTGTTTTCTATGCTGCTGCAACGCAAACATTTCACAATTTGGGGATCAGTAAAGTACCTCTTATCTTATCTTTATCTTAATGTTGTTGTATTATATAACAAGCTACCTCTCTTAGGATCTACACAGCTTTCCATTTTCCATAACAATACTGCACATATTTGATTTTATTAGTACTTTGCATAAGTATACTGTACGTAGTTTCGTTTTTCGTGTAAAAATGTTATATATGCAGGGTATCATTCAAAACTGCTAACAAAAATTATTATTTTATAATTTTTTTTAAATAGTTTTTTATAATTGATGGATATATGTATTACTTACTTCTTTAACATTGTTTATGAATGCAACATACACACCCAGTCAAATTATTTGCATGTGTAAACTTACTTGTCAATAAACCTGTTTCTGATTTCTGATTCTGAAATGAATGATGTTTTCTGAGATTTGTATTATTTGAAAGGTAGCAGAGCTTCTGAAACAGCTTTTAAACCATCACGGAACATCATCTATTCGTGAAATGACTAAATTAAATGTAGTATTTTCAAAAGGCTAGTTTGAAACCTAACATCCATCCATTCAATGAAAAATAACTTGAAATGACCACGAGAAACTCCAATATTTGCTCTTCTATCCTTTTTCAGATTCGTTCTTTCTCCAATAGATTTGTCATTGGGTTTCCTCCTGGCTATACATGACTTGAATACAATCTGCCTCATTT